TGCCTTGTAAGCAGGCAGTTGTGAGTTCGATCCCTGGTACCAATAAAAAGGAAAAAGATAAAAACAAACAAACAAAAAAACCCAAAGTGGCCTTGAGCTCACTTGGTGGCTCTCAGAGATCTTCCTGCCTCAGCTTCCCAAGTGTCGGGATTACAAGTGTACACCACCATGCCCAGTTTAAAATTTTTAAAAATAACAGCTTCCTGTTTAATTGAATTTGAATTAAACCTTGACAAAATGTGTAAAACTACAAAGGTAAATTAATATTTTTATCCCTCCAATAAGTATTTCATCCTTTGCACTAGGTCCACCCTCCTTTGCTGTTTTTCTTGAGACAATGTCTCACTCTGTAGCCAGGCTGTCCTTGAATTTACCGTACAAACGAGGCTGGCTTGGAACTTGAGGCAATCCTCTTGCCTTAGCCTTGCGAGTGCTGAGATTATAAGCGAGCACCACCGTGCCTGCCTTTAACTTTTTATATATAGATATTTAAAAATATATTCTCATCCTTTTCTCTCTCTTTTTTTTTTTCTTCAAGTAACATGGACGGGGTAGGATTGGCAGCGTGTTCGTGGCTTTTGGGACTTCGCTACACTGAACTGCTTTAGGACATGAGCAAATTTACCCCCAATAAAGTGGAAGTTTTTAAAAGGTTATGGATGGTGCGGTGGTGCACCCCTGTAACCCCAGCACTCAGGGGCTGAGGCATAAAGATCTTTGCAAGTTCAAGACCAGCCTGAGTTAAATGGTGAGACCCTGCCTCAAAAAACAAACAAAACAAACATTAAAAGGCTGCAGTAGACAAATTGACACAGTCACATGATAAATAATAAAACATTTTGTGATACAAAATAAACATGGATGAAGAAAATTCACTAACATGCCTAAAATAATCACTAGTTCCTGGGATTAAATGCTATATGTGTTTTAGGTTTTATAAACTCTAACTTCTTTTTTTTTTGTACTGAGGATCAAACTCACAACTTTGTGCTTTCAAGGAGGTGCTTGTGCCACCGAGTTAAATCACCAGCTCTTTGAATTTTTTTTTATCTTTTTGAGACAGGGTCTCACTATGCAGGTCAGGCTGGTCTTGAGCTCACTTTGTAGCCCAGGCTGGTCTTGACTCACAAGAATCCTCCTGCCTCAGCCTCCCGAGTGCTGGGATGACAGGCATGAACCACCATGCCCCACTCGGCTCTTCTAATAGTTTCTACTGTTTTTTTCTTCTTTTTAATCTTTTTTTGAGACAAGGTCTCACTATGCAGTTCAGACTGGCCCTGAAGTCACGTTGTAGCCCAGGCTGGCCTCAGACTCACAGTGATTCTCCTGAGTGCTGGGATTATTGGCAGGCGCCACCATGCCTGGCTTCTGTTGTTTTAAAATAAAAAGCAATAGCCACTAAGCTATTCCTGTCACCTGTCTAAACTTCTTGTTTTGAAACTTCCTATTATCTTCAAATGACTCCCATTGTGAATTCCCTGGCCAAGGGTTGTAATGGGCAGATCACCTTTAGCTCTGTCACTGACAAGGCCTCAGTGACAAATTGCATGGTCTCACGGCAGAAAGCTATGCAGTGCTCACAAATGCCTTAGAGTGCACCCACGGACAGGAAAACGTCCTGCCATGTGGAGCACAGGACAGGACAGGGAAGGACATCATTTTAGTGCATAAGCAAAAGTACCTGGAGGAAGTGTTTTCTTTAAATGGTGTTTGTAAGAGTTGTCTAAGTGGGCATGAAAGTTTTGCCTGTAGGGGCTGGCTTAGGGGCTCCTTCTGGCTTCCAGGCCATAGATACCTATTTAGAATATCAATCGCTGGTGATTATCCCAAGGGTGTGGGTGCATCTCTTTTATCTTTTGTCTGGAGAGCTGGCTCATAGCAGAGGTGTCTGTCTCCCCAAGGTTGCCAGGTACCTGGGCTTCCCCACTGGCTCCTTCCAGGGCTCGCCCAGCCTGCCTAGAGTATTTCTAACCCAGCTGCCTGTAACACTCCTCACTGTGAGGAAGTAACCTGAACCACTGGGAAGGGGTAATGGGTGATGACCCATCAACTTCTCAGGCTGAAGGGCTCACCAGTTGTTGACTGGCAGTCAGGGAGACTGGCAGAGGGTGTATGTAAAGGCCCTCTGTAGATACCAGGCATTTCACCTGGGCTAGGTGTACAGCTGTACGTCTCCGTGCAATGATCTGGGAAGACCTCCAAATGATTCAGGGGAAACTTCCAACCTCCTAGGTGTCCAGGACGAGGTGGTGTTCTCTAAAATTGAAGACTGGGGGCCGGGGATTTAGCTCGGCGGCAATAAGCACCTGCCTTGAAAGCAGGCAGTTGTGAGTTCAAGCCCTGGTACCGATAAAAATGAAAAAAAGCAAAAATAAATAAATAAAATAAATAAAATTGAAGACTGAATTTTAGGAACAACAGAGGTTAAGAGCAGAATAAATTTATTGAGAGGAAGCAAGCTTCTGTCTGGGAGAGACACAGGAGTCCCGAGCAGGTTGCCCAGGATTTATTTTAGCTTGCCTGTATTTCCTGAGTTCTCTCACTGACATGAACTGCTGCTTGCAACAATCACATGCATGTCTCCTCTCCACCCTCCTGTTCCTATCCCAGCCGCTACGCCCCTGCCCCACACCTCCTGCTCACTGCCTGTGTGGGACACGTTTACCCCGAGGTGTCCGAAGTGTAGTCACTGTGATCACTGCCCAGAATCCCCCAACTGACTCAGATTCAAAAGAGGTCAAATTCAACTGCTTTACCTAACTCACCAAGTAACTGTCCTAAGTAGTCTGTATCGTAAGAACATAACTTCTGCCGAGGTGTGGTGACGGACACCTGTAATCCCAGCACATGGGGGGCTGAGGCAGGAGGATTCCCACGAGATCAAGGCCAGCCTGAACTGCACAGGGAGACCCTGTCTCAAAAAAACAAAAACATACGCACAGGAATATCTTCCTTACACTGTGTCTGATAATTTGTTGAGTCAACTGTTCTTGTCACTCTTACTGTGAACTAGCTGTTCAAAGTATTTTTTTGTTTTTTTTTTTTTTGAGCTGATTTTGCCAGGTACAGGGATTGAACTCACAACCTCGTGCTTGCCAGGCAAGTGCTTATGCCACTAAGCTTAATCCCCAGTGGAAAGTATTTTTTTTTTCCAAATCCATTTTATTTCAAAGAGAAATAAAAATAAAAAATAAGTTTTCAAATCACAATCATGGGACAGCAATGGGGAAAGTACTTCTAAGTACTGGAAAGTTTATTTTTTGATATGTTCTTGATTAGTGGGGATCGATCCCAGGACCTCTGCATTGAACTGCATCCCCAGCCCTTTTATTTTCTGAGACAGGACCTAAATTGCTACATTAGGAATCCCCTGCCTCAGCCTTCCAGAGTCCCAGACCACAGGTAATTGCAGTGGGCCCAGCTGGGAGAGTGGAATTTTTAAGCTGTTCTCATGTGACAGCTGACCAGCATATCCAGCTGAAGGACGTCTTTCCTAAAAGTATGGTGTGGCTGTGTGTGACCGTGCACGCTCGTCATCCCCAGCACTCAGGAAGCTGAGGCCAGCCTGGGCTAGGCAGTGAGTTTGAGGCCAGCCTGAACCAGTGAGACACTGTCTCAAAAAAAAAAAAAAAAAAAAAAAGATGGTGGCAACTGCCAAAGCCATCGAACTGAACTTCTGAGCAGACAGATGATGTGTCAAGGCTGGGCAGCGCTTCTGTCTTGGTCTTTAACCTAAAAACAACCTTACAAAACAAACAAAACCCCACCCTTATCCACTGCTTGAGAGAAACAAGTCCTTTCCTTAATTAACTATGTGCCACTGAGTTCAAAGCCACTGGGACAACCTGAGCCTCCCAAGCACTCAGGGCCACGGTGGGGCAAGTGGTCTTAAGGTCTGGTGCCCACCTCGCACAGGTGCCAGGCAGACGCTGGACAGAAAGGGGGAGGGGCACCTCAGTGTTTCAAACTCCACATCCAAAGCCAACCTGCCGCTATTTAGAAACTAAAGCTTTCTGTTATGGCCACTTCAGAGGTCTGTCTTATCCTCACCATTGTGTAGAGTGTTCCTGAGGGTTGTTTGGAAAGCAAGCTCCCCGCTCCTCAGTGCACACCGGGGAAAAGCCCAGGCTTCCCAGATTTAGTGGCAGGCCCCACATCTGCAGATCAATGCCCTCCTCATCAGTGGCTCTCAGGATTTTACAGAGAAAACAGAAAACACAAATGAAAACATGGACTGGAAATACACAGGCTGGGCATGGCAAGGCATACCTGCAGTCTCGGCTACTTGGGAGGCTGAGGCCTGGGGCAACCGAGCCCCTGGGAGTTCAAGTCCAGCCTGAGAGCCATGCCCAGGCCCAAGCAGCATACACCTCACTGGCTGGAGCACTTCTGTGTTCACCAGCAGGAGCCAGCAACCTATGTCCTACAGGACCCTGGTTTCTGTGATTCATCAGCAGGTGAGGGTCGGGGTTTGCAACTGGGGATTTCACCTGCCCAGCCTGGGATCCCACCTCTGGACAGCCACCACAATTACAGAAGTCTATACATCATCCAAGTTTTCATTCCCTCAAATTAAAAATGGTAGGCTGAGGCCATCAAATTGTCAGGCCTGCCCCAGGACCTCAGCAAACACGCTGTGCTCTACAAATAGAGGCTAAGTATGGAGGGGCTGCACTTCCCTCGGCAAACAGGATGGTTGTGAAGGTTACACCAAGGTCCCAAAGGTCCACTTAACTGCCCATCTGTGCAGACGGGACCATCCCTGGAGCTTGGGAGTACAACCCCATCCCCAAAACAGCAACTCAATTTCTCACTGGTGACCTTGACCTGTTGGGACCTAGCCCTCCAATCACACCAATGCCTGTGTTTCTCACGTGCATTACCAAACGAGGCTCACAAGTGAGATCCTGTCTCAAGAGCTGGGGATGGAGCCTTGGGTTCAGGCCTCAGCGTCCCCCATGTGACAGTGTTACATACAAATTCCACCACACACTTCAAAATTGTCTTCCATATTTGAGATTTTATTGGTTGTGTTGAGGATCAATACAGACATTTCACTTTGTACACAACTCTTAACACACGTACCCAAAAGTCTACAGAGCCAGGTATTGTTTCTTTTTCAGTTATTCCAGTGACTTTCCAGCTTCAAATTTGGAGGCAGCTTTTCAGTAAGAGGACTCAGTACCAGTATCTTCCAATGCTGATGAAGTGTCACTTATGTCCCACTGACTCACAATTTCGTGCCACATACACCAACATACTCAAATTTTCAACCTTTCACAGCACATTAACAACATCAGGCAAACTGGACTACCACGACCAAAGATGTGACGAGGTGCACACGATTCTGACATGGCCACAATCAGGAAGTAGTTTTCTTTAGGAAACAATTCTACTAAAAACAGCATGGGAATAAAAGTCATTTAAAATATCCAAGACATATTAAATGCATGACTGTGACGCCAAATTGCCATTTAGTACGCTTTGTATTGCAGGATATAAAACTAACCCCCACCTGTGGAATGTTAAGCTGACACCCAAGACAGCCAAAGCCTGCCATAATTCAGTATCCCACTATTTTCTGGTTGTACCCAAAAATAAACAACCAGCGAATGATTTCACCTCTAAAAAAAATCATTTACACTTAAAAAATGCGATGAGGTGAGATTCCCTCCTTTTTAAAAATGTTTCTAGAGCTACTAAAAAACTTGCATTTACAAAATAGTTGATAAAAATATTCCTCTGGATTGTACAAGAAGGGAGCCAGGGACCACTGAGAAGACGACATGGGGTGGTTAATCAGACTTGGCTTCTTTCTCTTCTGCTTCATCAGAGGCTGCACTCTGCAAATCAAAGGAAACAAATGAGCAAGCTTCTGACTGGGTCACTGCCCTGAGCTGGGACCCTCAGCACCCATATGCATGTGAAACATACCTGACATAGCTAAAATATTTTGTGGCACTGGGGACTGAATCTAGGGTCTCGCACCAAGCTGCATCCTCAACCCTTCACAGAATTTTCAACAATGTCCTGTAACTCATTCAACTGCTTAGGCCGAGTTAGAATTTAGGATCCAAAACCTAACCCCAGCCCAACCCCAAAGACTTGTGATCCTCCCTGTCTCAGCAAGAGTGCTGGAATTACACTGGGTGTGCCCGATGCCTGGCCATGTAAATATTATCCTTAGAAATACAGCTGACCCACGCCTCTCAATTCTGCACATGCCAAATTCTAGTATGCAAACTACCTTTACTGTGGCCCACTTACAGTCAAGTAACCCTAACCTGTTGTGCTGTTCAGGTTGGCTGCCCAGCAGCATGTGTGATGCCAAGGGTTGCTAAGCACAAGAAGGCCTGTAACCAAAAAACCCAAACCAAACCAAATAGCAAAAAATTAAAAACAAATGAAAAACCCAAACACTATGTTTCTTTTCTTCTCTAATTTGGAATATAACTAAAAAGCTAAGGTTAAAAAACAAAGTCACAGGGTGTGGGAGTACACACCTGTAATTCTAGTTCTCAGGGGCTGAGGCAAGAGGATCACTGTGAGTTCAAGGCCAGCCGGGGATAAAAGAATAAAAGAAAAAGTGGGGTTTTTACCGATAATGTTTTGTGGGTTGTCTTACAGCACTGGGGTTTGAAAACCACTGAGCCACATCCTCAGCCTCCAATGGCTGGAGTTAAAGAAAAAAAAATACGGATGCCTTTGTTTTTTAAACTATGAGGAAAAGAAAATATTGCTTTAAAAAATAAGTAGGTCCCAAGGTCAGGATAGGCTCTTGGGATTCTGTGTGGGCCAGGCTGGCCAGGGACTCACAGGAGTACTCCTGCTTCAACCTCTCTTCTATTGTTTTGAAATACCACATTATGTGCCCTACACTGGCTATAAACACCTGCTCCTCTGGCCCCAGCCTCAGGTACAGTGCCAGCTCCCCGAAAGGCCAAGCCTGCACAGCCCACATCTCAGAACCACCACCAAGACGCAAGCCTGGACACTGCAATCTAAAAAGCAGAAAACACAAGAGGACCCACATTCACATGAAGGTAAGTCAATTCCATCTTTTCTAAATTTCATACCAAGAAGCCAAGTGTAGTGTGGCTGTGCACACCTGTAATCCCAGCACTTGAGAGGCTGAGGCAGGAGTGTCTCAAGTTTAATTCTACCTGGGGCAACTTAGCTGCAAGAACCTGGTCTCAAATCCTAAGGCTGGGGATTCTTTTTAAAAGTTCGAGCGCCCTGGGTTCAAGCCCAGGGACCATAAACACAAAGCAGACCCACGAGGTGAACCTTCTCACTTATGTACATAAACCTTCTCCTAACAATCCCACGCTCAGGACCCAACCAGCACACAGCTGCTCCTGACCTCTGCGTTCTTCGCCTCTCCGTTCTCCGCAGGGAGATCCTCCTTGGCCTCCTGGTGAGCCGCCTCAGCCTGTTTTCCCTTCGCTCCCCTCTTCCCTTTTGGTTGCACTTTTTTGTCCACAGATTTATCCTGAAAGAGTAACAGAGGGTAGGGTAGTCAGGCTATCTCGTCAAACTTCACTCTGACAGGGCAGACAGCACGGTAACAGCTGCTACCCAAACACTCCAACTCCAGCCCAATCCCAGCCCCAGGGAAACAACGTTGTTAGAACAGTGCCAGTGGCCCTGGAATATCAAGTCTCAGGCCTGGCTTGGTGGTGCAGGACTGTACTCCCAACACTTGGGAGGCTGAGACAGCTGAGACAGGAGGATTATCCCAGTTTGAGACCAGCCAGGTCTACAAAGTGAGTTCAAGACCAACCTGAACCGTATAGCGAGACTCAAAAAAAAAAAAAAAACACAAAACCACCCAAGCCACTTTAGCCAAAGAGCTGACCTGTACCACCAGTAGGTACAGTGGAAAAGACCCTGGGCATCTTCCCAGTGAGACCCTACCACCTCCCTCCTGACTTCTCTTAGACACAAGCAGGAATCTGACAGCAGATAAGCAATGTCCCACCAGAACTTGCCCTCAGATGAAGACCACTGACCCAAGAAAAGCCCATGCTGCATGGCCATGTAGACTATCCCACTACACTCAGTCCCCAGTACCCCAGAACCAGGGCTACAAGGGTCAGTTCTGAGTTTACCATTCCCATTCAGGTGTTTGAAGAACATCAAAAGCATAGTTAGAGGTATGACGATGTAAGCTGAAACACTATGAAGTTCGAAAGTTAAGCCCTGTTAAAGCAATATGAAGCAGTGTTTTTAGATGCCATTCATCAATATGCAACACAAAATATGGTTCCTACACAGTACTGACCAGGCAGTGTCAAAGGGCTGTTAAGACATGAAAGTCCGCATCACAACTTTGACACAGGAGAAAAAAAAAAAAAACCCTGCACAGTGGTACCATCCATAAACTGACAGCAATGACTATTAACTCAGTAAATCTTTATTTTGAGTATCAAATTATATACTTGGGGGCTGGGGATTTAGTTCAGCAGCATAAGTGCCTTCCTTGCAAATGTGCAGTCCTGAGTTCGATCCCTGGTACTGATAAAAATGAAAAAGAAAAAAAAAAGAGAAATTATATACTTACCTTTTACTTTTTGAGAAAGTGCCACTATGTAGCTCAGGCTGCCCTTGAACTTGCAGTGATGCTCCTGCCTCAACCTCCAGAGTCCTGAGATTATACATGTGAGCCAACATGCTCAACAAACACCAATTTATATATACAAGTGTACCTGCTGCAACACTGCTACAGAAGTGTCACAACTACTTCTACACCTGAAAACTCTTTGCAGGCACTTACACCACTGAGCTAAATCCCTAGCCCCTGTAATGAGATTTTTTTTGGGGTCTTTTTCTTTTTACCGGTACCGAAAATCGAACTCACGACCGCCTGCTTCCAAGGCAGGTGCTTATGCCGCTGAGCTAAATCCCCAGTCTCAGTCTTTTTCCTTTTTATCGGTACCGGGGATCGAACTCACGACTGCCTGCTTGCAAGGCAGGCGCTTATGCCGCTGAGCTAAATCCCCAGCCCCCAATGAGATTTCTTTAGATAACTAACTTCACAATCAAACTCTAACATGGAAATGTAAAAATTAATCCACCATAAATGCTCTTTTGAGATTGACTCAAGATTTATAACAAGTGACAGAATAACCCAGGTGGGGGGCAAACACCTATGTCCGTAATCCAGCACTCTAGAGGGCTAAGGCAGGAAAATCAAAGTCTTGAGTCCTGTGTGGGGCTGAGAGGACCGGGTCCAATCCCCATTTGGGGAAGGAGAGCTGACTGAAGCAGAGGCTGCAGCTGCAGCTCAGGGGTACAGTGCTGGCCTAGCACGCTTCAAGTCCTGGGTTCAACTAGTACTGCACCCCCCCACAAAAAGTTTAAAAAGCAAGTTTTCCTAAAGTTTCAGTCTTTCCTCCTATACAACTGCTTACTCCCAAGGAAATGATACAAGTCAGAAGCCCGCATTAAAAGTGATATTAAAATTGTCTCTATCACAGTAATCAATGTACCAGCAAATGATCCTTTGTTAAAGGCTTGAATAAGGTCAAACCATGAAGATGAAAGTTTTGTTACAAAAGTGAGATGAAAAAAATAACCAAAAATGGTTCTCCAAGTTGTTCTCTAGTTATCCCTCAAGTGACACTAACAAAAAAAATTTACCTGTTGGTTATTCCACCTGCCCCCCAACCCACTGGGAATAAATTTAAGACATTAAAATGTCTTAAATTGGGCCAGGGTCAACGGCATAAGCGCCGGCCTTCCAAGTGTGTGGTCATGAGTTTGATCCCTGGTACCAAAAAACTGAAATAAAATGAAATGTCTTAAGAAGGATTCAAGAGGAAATAAGGGTTAAAAGAAAAAGCAGAGGCTTATGCAATTTTTTTTAGCCAATGATTTTTTTTTTTTGGTCTTTTTCATTTTTATGGGTACCGGGAATCGAACTCATGACTGCCTGTTTGCAAGGTAGGTGCTTATGCTGCTGAGCTAAATCCCCAGCTCCCTCCCTAGCCAATGATTTTTTAAAAATCGGAAAAAGATCTGATTAATTTTAATATATTCCTCAAGCCAACATTTTGAAACAAGGTTTTCTAACTAACTGATACACCACATGAATTCTAGATCACAAAAAACAGTGTTTTGTGGAAAACAAGAAATTTACATTCAGATCTACATTAAAAACAAAGCTTTGTTGCCTTTAACAAAGACTGACTCAATTGTTTACCCAAGGCTCCCCAGCACAGAGAAAACACGCAGTTCACGCTGGAACTTCTATCTTGCTGTCTGACAGCTGTGGGGGGGGGGGGGAGTGCCTCAAAGGACTGTGCTCCCTTAGGGCAGGGGACAGACTCGCTGCGTGTAACCCAGATGTTCGAGGGGGCAGCACCAACCATTAATCTTATCTCTTTAGGGGTGCTAAACTTTCCTCTACATTTTAGGAAAAGAGTGGTAATATAAGTTTTTTTTAAAGACTTCAAAGAGCGAACTGAGCAAGTTCTGGGTAGGAATAAGTCAATCACACCACGAAGCACGTGTGCAGTCTTACAGAGCGTGGTTTCAGTAAGGCACCCAAACCCGAATTTGAACCTAACTTAAGACATGTTCTGTTTTCATACACCAAGGAGACTGCCATCCTGAAGACCCACAGTCTGGAACTTCCCTTAGGACAAAATTATCCCTAACTGCATCTCCAACTGCTTTCAAAATTCTGATAGCCAGGTTTCCAGTAAACACAACTCTTGATAGCTAAAGATAGCCATCTCTGCCGGAGGGGAACAGATACACACAGGAACTTTCACGTTCTCCTTCTGGTTCCAGTCCTGGCTGGGCGGCTAGCAGGCACTGCTGATGCCAGCAGCGACCACAGAATACACATCAGAGAACTCGTTTTCCTTTGTTGTCTCAAGTTCGTATTTTAATACTTTGACACCTTAACTCGCCTTCCGAACAGTTCCACAGCATCTACTGGACATGTTCGGCTCCTGTATTACATTTTACCCAGGCCTAAAAACAAACCTAACGAAACTATTGAAATACACATGAAAGATTTCAACTGGAAAGCAAAAGCAGAAACAAAGGCCAGGTCGGCTTTTCTCCCCACCTGCTTCTCTAAGTTTTGAAACCTACCTTTCCCGCTGCCTTTTTTGGCTTCGTTTCCACTTTTGCAGGAGCAGGTTTCTGAAAAGAAAAAAAGCAGCGCTGAGTGTGGTGGGAAGGTGCACGATCCCCGGGCAAATAAAGGCTTTCCAGTGTAGCTATACTTACAGCAGACAATCTCGCCGATCTCCTCTTGGGCTGGGGAAGAAAAAAGGCACCATCAGTGAGATCGCGGGAGAGGCCAGTGGCGCACCCTCGCCCTCCCTCCCCAGCCCCGGGCCAGGGCGCGGACGCTCACCTCCTCCTTCGCTGCCCCTTCGGCTGCGCTGACCTGCAGGGAAAACATACCGGATGGGCACGGCGCTTCCGGGACCCCCGATCACCGCCTCCAGTCCCAGCCCCACCGAGAACAATGCCCGGCCGCGTGACGTCACGCTTCCCGCCGAGCCCCCCCACCCCCCGACCGAACGTTCCAGAACTCGGGCCCGGGACCCTGCGCCTGCCCGCCAGCCCGCCCGCAGGCCCGATCGCCTCCCGGCCAGCGCTGACCGCTCCGGGCCTGGCGCGGGGAGAGTGAAGCGGGCGGATGGGGCGCTGGGGCCGTGCGCGCCGCGGCCGTGCTCACCTTCCTCTTGGGCATCTTGGTGGCGCGAGGGACGCTTGTGGAAGCTGCGGGCCGAGGCGCACGGGAACCTCGCGGAGCTACGTTACTCAGCCGCTGCCACTCCTCCCGTCGCCAGAGCTGCTGGGACCCGCGGCGGGGGCGGTGGGAGAACCGGATGGAACCGGATTGGAAACCCGTCCCCTTCTACCCCGCACCCCCGCCGGCCGGGCCGCCCCCCGCCCCCATTGGCTGCGGGACCCACCGCGCCGCGCGCGCGCCCTCAACCCGCGCCGGAATAGGTGAGACGGGACGTCACTCGACCCCGCCGCCCCGCCCCCGTGCCGGGCGCCCCCACCCCGGCCGCCGTCTCACTATGGGCCCCAGACCCAGGCGGAGGGGGCGGGCCCCGCAGGCCGCCGGGCTTTACCGTAATGTATTTGAAGCCGAGCCGCAAAGTGCGGTCTGCGCGCCGATAGGTAGGAGTGCATCACGTGGACACGTACGTTTCCCCTCCCACAATGCACCTGGGCGAACGCCGGGCCTGGGTGCCGCAGGCATGTGGCTACTTGGAGTTAGACGTTAATGGGTTGTCGCGTACCCTAGGAAGGGAGAAAGACCACGGGTACGCGAAGGGGCAGATTTCCCCCTCACCAGTCAGCAAGCCTGGCTCACCGCGTTCCCCAGTTTCGCAGGCCTGAGCGAAGCGGGACCTAGTGCGCAGGCGCGGGCACAGGCGGGAGATCGTGGGAAGGGAAGCGCGCGCGGATTGGGCGCGGCCGCCATTGCGCATGCGTCCCCCCCCCCCGCGGGGAGAACGCAGTGGTCTGCACTTGGAGTGACTTTGGAGCTTCCGTTCCTCCAGGGTTTCTTTTTGTGAAATTTTTAAAAATGTGTTTTTTGAAATTAGTATATGTTTGTCAGCATTTATGCCTGCATGTAACATATCTTAATTCTTCCCCAAACCCCCTCCACTTCTTTCAAGTCTCCTTCCCATTCCTGTTTACAAAAGCTTTGTTTCCGTTTTTTCCTCCTTTTCATCCGTTTCCCTTCTCTCTTCCCCACCTTCGTTCCCCTTCCTATTGGAACTGTTCTTCCTACCTCCCCGTGTCAAGCCTCCATTGTGCCTCTTTATTTACCCTTTGGGTTTCTCGCAAGAGGAACAATGGATGTTTAAACTTCTGGGCCCTTATTTCATTCAGGATGGTCTTGAAGTGCATCCATTTACCTAAAAACAAATTATCCTTTATAGCAGAGTAGTACTCCATCATATATAATACTACCTTTTCTTTATTCATTCGTCTGTTGATAAGCATAGGGGTTGCTTCCCGGATTTGGCTACTATAAATTGTGATGTTGCAAACACACTTATGCACATGTCACTGTGGGGTGATGCTTTTAACTCAGGAAGATACCTACAAAGGAACAGTTGGGTCAAATGGAACAGAGTGAGTTTGTGAGGAATCTCTGTATGAGTTTGCATAGTGATTGTACGAGATTATGCTCCTACCATCAATGGAAATGGGTTCCTTTTTCCACCACAGCCTCACCAGCATTTGTTACTAGTTGATTTCTGGATAGCCGTTCTTTCTGGAATGCGATGGAATCTTGACGTTTTAATTTGTAGTTCCCGAACGACCAGTGATGTTGAACACTTTTTCATATCCTTATTTGATGTTTGTAGTTGTTCATATGACACATCTCTTCATTTTAGACGCCCATGTTGGGATTGAGTCTAAATCTGGAAGGCCTGATTTTTTTTTTTTTAGTTCTTTATATATTCTTTATATATGTCAGTCCTTCGTGGGAGGAGTGGCTGGGTGGGTGTTTCTGAGTGGAGCAGCTGAGCCCCTGTGCACCCATCCCTCCCTGAGATCCCCACAGCATCTCTTGTGAGGAAGGAGGACCCACCCTACCCACACCCCACCCTTGTGCCTGGGAAGTGTGTCTGCCCCTTTAAACTTGTTCTGCCCTGAAGCCCCATTTTAAAGCCAAAAAAGGCACTGGGCTGGGGGGTGAGCTGGGGTTGCATGTTGCTTCTTCCCTTTTATCCCTTCTTTGCTTATTGCTGCCATGTGCTAGGGACTGAACCAGTGACTTGGACAGAGCGATGAATCCAGTCTTTGTTCTACTTGTTCATTTGGGCCAAGATCTTGTTAAGGCAGGACTCATTTGAGATGCTTCTATCTCTGCCTCTCAAGTAGCTGGTATGACAGCTGGTACTCACCTTACTGCAACACTGTTCAGCCTTAGCACTTTTCCTCCAACAAGCAGGGCACCACCTGCCTCAGGCCCTTTTCAGGCAGCTGTTGCCTTTGCCTGGGTGTGCTACCTCAGACATTCACAGCAGGAAGTGTGAACATTACTGATGGGATGGGACGAGTTGCAAGGTTTTTAGCAAGGGAATGAGTTGCTGAAACTGGAACTTACCTCATAGAGCTCTTTCCTGACCATTACAGGGGTCAGAGGCAAGAGGTGGCAAACGGGTGAACCGCAGGTGACCTTTGCTTTGCTGCACTTTTTAACACAAGTATCAACCAAAGCTCAGCTGAAAAGGTACATAGCAGTACATAGCAGTACCATGTAAAGCAAAGCATACACTGACTCTATAGTCAGGCTCCTAGGAATGTGGTTAAAAATGCTTACATGCTTTTCCCAGAAGACAGAAAAAATAGTCATAGCTTCTGTGTTTGTTGCAGGTCCAAAGTGAGAGCAGGACCAACAGAAAGGTAGATAAATAGACAGACTTATCAGTAATGAGACTAAGCCATCCTCAACTACATAAAATGTCATACAGTGTGAAGAGTCCAGACCCAAAAGACCCTGATATGCCAGGCGTGCCCCAGAGAGGACATACTGTATGATTCTGTTCACATAATGTACAAAAGCAGGCAAAACTAGTCATGAAAGTCCACCTTGGGCTGCGGTGGGAAATGTGCCTGGGAGAAAGCAATATTGAACTTCAGGGAAAGGAAAGTTTCAGACAGGGCCTCATTACATTGTACTGATCAGCCTTACACTGTACTGGTGAGCCCGGGCTCAGTGTGTAGCCCAGGCTGACCTCAAATTTGCCATCTTCATGCCCCTACCTTCTAGGTGATGGGCTTATGGTGTATACCACCACACCCAACTCCAGGTTCTGTTTCTTGATTTGGATATTGGTTTTTATTTTTATGTTTCACACTGTTGGACATCTTTGCATTTTTCACTTAACGAAAATGACTATTAAAAGTCCTTAAAGTATTTGTCTATTTGTCCCTCTTTTTACTGCATTGCATTCCTCTATATAGGATGCAGCAAACACATTGAAAATTTATGGTAAAATACTTGTAACAGTACAATTTGATCATTCCTCTGTCTGTCTATCTGTCTGTCTGTCTCTGTCTCTGTCTCTGTCTGTCTCTCTCTCTCTCTCTCTCTCTCTCTCTCTCTCTCTCGATAAAGTCTTGCTATGTAGTTCAAGCTGGTCCAGAACTCACTATATAGCCCAAGCTGGCCTTGAATTTGTAACAGTCCTTCTGCCTCAGCCTCTTGAGTGCTGGGATTACAGGTGTGCACCACCACACCTAACTAACCTGATCATTTTTAGTGTCAGATAAAAGAATGAAAAAGAGTCAAGAAAATTTGTGGAATTTGTAACAATTTTTGGAGATCCAGAAGGAGCAGCAAGAGAAAGAGGCAGAAAGCTGAAGAGCTAATGACAAAAAAATCTAGAGAGAAAAAGTAAACAAGGAGGTCCCTAGTGCTCAAAGAACTCAAAATAGTTGAACATAAAGAGATCTTCGCATAGAAATGTGACGATCAAATTGTGAAAAGTAGAACACAGTTTTGAAGGTGGCAAGAGGAAAGTTGTCATTACAAAGAGGAGAACTGCCATTAGACTACAGTTGTGAGTGGGTTTCTCTGCAGAAACCTTGCAGACCTCCTGAGCAAAATGGGTGCCACATCGGTGCTGAAAATGGGTGCCACATAGGAGCAAAATGGGTGCCACATCGGTGCTGAAAGAAAGAAACCTTTACACCTGACAAAGCTTTCCTTCAGAAGTGACTGAAGTAAAGCCTCTCCTGAAAGAACAAATCTGAGGGAGATCATCGCTGTGAAACTGCTTTATAGGAACTGTGAAAGGGAGTTCTTCAAGCTGAAATGAATGTAGCAAGCTGAAGCCATAAAAAGTGTAAAACTCTGTAAAGGTAAGTAGATAGATGTAGAGTGCTCTAACACTGTTATGGTTGTGTTTTTGTTCTTGTTTTTTGTTTGATTCAGGTCTGGCTGTGTAGTTCAGGCTGGTCTTGAAATTATGTAGCCCAAGCTGGCCTCAAACTCATGGTGATCCTCCTGCCTCATTCCCTTGAGTGTTGGATGACAGACAGGTGCCGTCATACCCAGATGTAATGGTGGTGTATAAATCACTTTCAACTTTCTTTCTTTTTTTTTTTTTTTTCTTTTTTATCGGTACCAGGGATTGAACTCATGACTGCCTGCTTGCAAGGCAGGCGCTTATGAGCTAAATCCCCAGCCCCCCCTTTTAACTTTCTTATACCATTAAAAGACGAAAGGTATTAAAATCACTATAGTAACAAATTACATTAATGATTACAGGTATAAATTATGATAGCAATGATATAAATATTCAAGGGAGAGGTATGCAGTTTTATATGTAGCGGAGTAAGCTTGAAAATAGATTGTTACCACTATGAGGTGTTTTGGGTAAGAATCACGAGAGTAACAAACTAGTGAATACGTAATAGGAATCAAAACATGCTACTACGGGGGCTGGGGGTTTAGCTCAGCGGCGTAAGCACCTGCCTTGCAAGCAGGCAGTCGTGAGTTCGATCCCTGGTACCGATAAAAAGGAAAAAGACAAAAAAAAAAAAAAACATGCTACTACAAAACCATAGGGTCACAGCAAGAGAGGACAAAAGGCACAAGGGAGCAAACAGAGGCCATAGTAAATCCTTATGTCAACAGTTTAAATGTAAATGAATTAAATTCTTCAGTCAAAAAATACGGATGGACTGTATGTAAAACAAGATCCACTTATCTGCTACCTATGAGAATCTTTAGGGACACAAAGTGAAGGGATGGAAAAAGATTCTGTCCAAAAGTAACTGGAAGAGAATGTGGATGGTTATGTTACAAAAACAGAGGTTGAGTCAAAATCTGCCACAAGAGAGAAAAGGGGTCATTTTACAGTTGTAAAGATGTCACTCATCACAAGAATTTGAAAAGTGGCTGTTTCGGATTGCCGCGCCTAGCCATCAGTGTGCAGAGGAGGGGCTGGGCGGATCTGGGGCGCCTGCATCGGCCTCTCCGTGTGTCTGGTGGACTGTGGATGTCTCTGCAGGCAGGGAGGGATCGCAGGTTCCTGAGGCACCGCGGCCTGTGGTGAGTGCTCAGCACACTCTGCCCAAA